ATACAAGGAAATCACATCAAGTCCATGTAGAAATTAACGCCATCATTCTATTCCTTCTGCTTAGCTAACAAGAAACTGGGTATAAGGAGACATTGGTGGGGGGACAAGATGTAATGTGGTAGGGTGCCACAGCAAGTGCATGAGGCACTGCACAGACTGTGCAACGTACCTTTGTACTATCTTTTGTCCTATAACGCCTCCAACCTTATCCTTTAAATTTGAATGATTTTCTTTATTTTTCAGCTTAGCAAAGTTTCTCTCCAATTCTTTCTTCCATTTACGTTATTCCTTGAAGCCAGCTAATTGTATTATTGATTTTACCTTTTCTCTAAGTCCATCTTCTTTTCTCAACTTGTGTTCCTTGCAGCATATCACTTTAGTCTTGCCTCAGCTCGACAATGCTAACCTTAACTTAAGCACAAAATACATTAAAACATAAAGGGAAGACCTATTGTACTCCAAGCAAATTACTATTAAAACAACTAAAATGCAATAAATTAACAACTAAAAAGTAAATTAACACCTAATAAAGAAAAAAATTAAAGTATGTATTAACTCACAAAATGAGGGTTAACAGATGCAACAATTAAAAGTCTCTAAGTGGTAAAAGCTTTGTGGAAACTTGAAGAAGTGAAAAAAGAGTAAGAACATTGTTGTTATTAAATTCTTGACATCATTTGTGTTTATTTCAACTCTTGCTCTGGAGCTCCATATGGAACGCTCGTGCATGCTCCATCTTCCATACGGTGAGGTTATATCGTTTTCAATTTTTCATTCTATGAGTAAGTCACTCTTTTTACCTGTTTATGTTTCAATGATATTTCTATGCATGTTGTGTGATGCTTATTTTTTAGTTTTCATTTCCAAAAATCTCAATTGATGATGTGTAGGAGCACTTCAACTTATATGCTTATACTGACCTTAATCAAGTTTCATCTTGTGCATGTATTATCTTATTTATCTTGTATATGCATATTTGTGTATTACTTGTTCAAAATATATCAAATCATGATTTTTGTTCAAATATTGTTATACCCCAATTTTCCCTCCCTAAGATCCTCTATCATATCATATCATTATAATGCACCAAAATCACACAATAGGGTTGGTTCTCTCTTCTACTCTCTCCTATTTTTTTAATCATTCTATACAACAAATTATTGTTTCAGAAAGTGTAAAAAAAATCTTAAATTTTAAACTGCAACAACCTCTTTCAACCTAGCTTCGCGCCTCTGCAGTCTGCAACCATGGCCAACTCCAAGCACCTCCTCCGATGGCGTCCATCTCTCCACCCCATCTTCCCCACCACCTCTCTCTCCTCCCGTTTCTCCACCTCCATCGCCGAACCACTCTTCGAACCCGACCACCCTCTCCCCCTCCATTCCCCTCCCGAACCACAACCCAAACCCCAATCCAAATCCCAATGCTCGCAATCCAACTCCGAACTCATAATCTCCCGCATGCTCGCAAACCGTGTCTGGACAACTCGTCTCCAGAACTCCATCCGTTCAATCGCCTCCAAATTCGATTCCAATCTCGTCTGGAACATCCTTCACGCATCCACAAACTCTGATCAAGCCCTAAAATTCTACCGATGGCTCGAACGTTCGAATCTCTTCACACACGATGCACACACCACTCTCAAAATGCTTCAAATCTTAACCCGTTTCTCCAAACTAAACCATGCTCGATGTATTCTCCTTGATTTGCCTAAGAAGAATCTTCCTTACGACGAAGATATGTTTGTTGCTTTGATTGAAGGCTATGGTCGCGCAGGGATTGTTCAGGAATCTGTTAAGATCTTTCAGAAATTGGAGCAGAAAAGTGTTAAATCTTATGATGCTTTGTTTAAAGTGATTTTGAGGAGGGGAAGGTACATGATGACGAAGAGGCTTTACAATGCCATGTTGAGGGAAGGTATTGAACCTACTAGACATACTTATAATATTCTTCTTTGGGGTATGTTTTTGTCTTTGAGATTGAATACTGCAATTAGATTTTATCAAGATATGAAAAGTAAGGGTATTGAGCCTGATGTTGTGACGTATAATACTTTGATTCATGGTTATTTTCGGTTTAACAAAGTCGATGAGGCTGAGAGTTTGTTTGTGGAAATGAAAGAGAAGAATATTGTTCCTAATGTTATTAGTTATACTACTATGTTGAAGGGGTTTGTTGATGTGGGGAAGGTTGATAGGGCCGTTGAGGTTTTCGAGGAGATGAAGTCTTGTGGGATTAAGGCAAATGCGGTTACTTTTACTACTTTGTTGCCGGGGTTGTGTGATGCTGGTAAATTGGTTGAGGCTGGGAATCTCTTGTGGGAGATGGTGGAGAGGTATATTGCTCCTAAGGATAATTCTGTGTTTATGAAATTGATGGATTGTCAGTGTAAAGCTGGTAATTTGGATGCTGCAGTGGATGTGTTGAAGGCGATGGTACGGTTGAGTATTCCTACCGAAGCGGGTCATTACGGTGTGTTGATTGAGAGTTTCTGTAAGGCTAGAGTGTATGACAGGGCGGAGAAATTGTTGGATAAGTTAATTGAGAAGGATATTGTTTTGAGGCCGGAGAATTCCTTTGAAATAGAAGCTAGTGCTTATAATCCGATGATTGAGTATCTGTGTGACAATGGGAAGACAGTGAAGGCAGAAACATTTTTCCGGCAGTTGATGAAAAAGGGTGTACTAGATCCTGTTGCTTTCAATAACTTGTTCTGTGGGCACTCAAAGGAAGGCAATCCTGAATCTGCACTTGAGATTGCAACGATCATGAGTAGGAGAGGGGTTCCTAGTGATGCAGATTCCTATAGATTGCTTATTGATACTTACTTGAGAAAAGGAGAACCAACTGATGCTAAAACTGCTTTGGACCACATGCTTGAAGGTGGGCATCAACCAGATTCGTCTCTTTACAGGTCAGTTATGGAGAGCTTGTTTGAAGATGGAAGGGTGCAAACTGCAAGCAGAGTAATGAAAACTATGGTGGAGAAGGGTGTGAAGGAGAATATGGATTTGGTTCCGAAGATATTGGAGGCCCTTCTCATGAGAGGCCATGTTGAAGAAGCTTTGGGCAGAATTGATTTGCTTATGCTTAAGGGGTATGAGCCTGACTTTGACCACCTTATATCTACTCTCTGTGAGAAAGAAAAGAGGATTGCTGCTCTCAGATTGTTAGATTTTGTTCTCGAGAGAGACATTATCATAGACTTTTCAATCTATGATAAGGTTTTAGATACTCTCTTAGCAGCAGGAAAGACTCTCAACGCGTATTCTGTCTTATGTAAAATTCTGGAGAAAAGAGGTGCGACAGATTGGAGCAGCTGTGATGAGTTGATCAAGAGCCTTAATCAGGAAGGTAACACAAAGCAAGGAGATGTCTTGTCGAGGATTATCAAAGAAAAAGTGGCAAGTCCTCCAAAGAGAGAGGGAAAGAAGAAAGCAAGTAAAGTTGCATAATCTATTCTCTCGTCATTTACTTCTCGAATTTTAGAGGTGAGAATTATTAATGGGTTTTGGTTGTAATAAGTTGTTATACGAGGAAGTAATAAGTTGTTAATACGAGGAAGAGATTTCGTGAACTGTTACTCATTTATAATCAAAAACTTTGATTCATTCCAGCTGATCAGAGTTTTGTTTTGACACATTCTTTTTTACATTTTATTTAGTTGTTGTGTTATTGATAGTCCATTATCAAGGTCTCAAGCTGTGTAACTTGTTTTTTATATTATCTTGGAATGACATGACAATGAGAAGTTTGAACTGAAATCAAACTTTTCTCAAATTTACAAGATTTCGGAAGTACTTTATTTCTCAGCTATTATTTTGCTTTACCAAAATTCTTTTTGACCATGCTGAATACACAAGCATCAGGATTTCTTGTATATGACAAAATTTCGTCCCTGTTCTGACTTCTGTGCATTTTATCTGATTTCTATGTTGACAATAGATCTGATGTTGTTCTGTCCATTTGATCTGATTTATATGTTGATAGTAAATCTGATTTTGTTGATGTTGGCATTTATATTCAAGAACTGTATACTCTCAATTAATACATCATGTTAATATATTTGCTGGTAGTTGTTCGCAGTTGAAGTCTCATAATTTCTTACATTGCAATCAACAGTTTTGTGAGTTTTATTTCTTACATTGCAATCAACTGTTTTGTGAATTTTATTTCTTACTGCAATCAACAGTTTTGTCAGTTTTAGTTTTGCAGCAGTGTTCGGTAATGTTGTTGATGTCTTGTGGATGTTGAGCACACTTGCTATGCTACTGAATTAGCTATTTATGTCTGGTCCCATTCTACATGCATAAAGCATAAATTTCTGGAGATGAAGAGACCAAAGTTATAACTTAGTCTGACATATATTTTGGAAGACATGGTTTAAAAAGTTAAATATGTAGTTTATCTATTTAATGACTCATGCTATACTTTTACACTTTTGCTTATTATGTCTTTGTACCATATATAACTTATCATCATTATTCATTCATCTTTGGCTTTATTCTGTAAAAGATGGATATATAATTTTATTGCATAGCCTAAATGTTGCATTTATGTTAGTTGTTGTAGAAGTTCTCTCCATTGAATCCTGTGTGTTTTAACGAACATTCTCCCAACAACTTCAATAATTATATGGTGAATTGATCCCATTCTACTGTAATGTTTCATTGAAGTGAAGGCTGACCTTTTGTCTCAAGTGTTCCAGTTGAGTAATCATTTGCTGTATTGGTAAACTTGAATCTTTCATTACAATATAAAATTTCTGGTGCTTTGTTGCTTGGTAGTTATACAAAATATAAATTCTAAATGGAAATAAAATAATGGATGTTTGGATTTATATTCATCTGATTGCCATTCTATTTCTACCTTCCTTTTTTCCTTTGCTCCTATGAGGCTACGTCACGCCACCTGCCATTATTGTTGAAAGATGTTATATACAGGGTTTTCCATTTATTTTGAGAACAAATTGTTTGAACTTTTTCCACAATGATTGTTAAATGCTCATAAAGGTAGACAGATTCCTCTGTTAGATTCTGTGTATTAGGATTAAAAATTGTAGCCAATTTTCTCCAAAAGATACATGTATTTCTTTTTCCTTTTCCCTGTACTTGTTATTTTCTAATTCTACCTAGCCGACCCCAAATGCGAAACGGAATGTTATTGTTGTTGTTTCACAGACATTCTTTACTATTCTCTGCAATATTGCTTTACAGAGGAAAAGTGGGGAATATGCAGATCTAAAATTTGAAACAAATCCGCATCCTAAAGATAACACACAGAAAGACGGATGTGTTTATGTTGATGCATATGCGGAAGAAGATACTAAGGTTGATGCTGAAACAAGTCTTCCTCTTGAAGATAACACAAGGAAAGATAAAGGTGTCATGTTGACGTACACGACGAAGATAATAAGGTTGATGCTGAAGAATCAAGAAGATACTTGGAGGGAGATGTTTATGGCACTAGAAACTTCTAAAGTATGGTTAAATTCTTTTGATTTTGCTTTTCAATAACAACTTTCTTTGTCAAGTAGATTTTCGCCTTACTCGTTTGAGATTTTTTTTTCATATTAATTTGTTTGCAGTGCTTCCTTACATTTGTTAAAGATTCTGAGACTAGGCATTTTCCTTATGAGGACAAAGGGGGGAATTGGAAAAGTGGACTATTGTGTGGGAGAATGTATTGATATATAAAGAATTGTGACATTGTTTCCTTCTTTAACAGAGTTGTTACTTGTTACTTAATAACATGAATGTCCATTGATTTATAAAGAAAGCTAATTAATTTTGTTGATGTTCATTGAAAATGGTCAGATCATTTCTACCATTATTTAGTATACAGGGTATATGCTGGTGATCATACTGTAGTTAATGTAATGCATACCACGTGTAATTTTATGTCATGAAATCTTCTGAGTTATGATGTTTAACTATTTTGCTATTACATTCAGCCTTTCTTTCTCTCTATTATTATGTCTTATGTTACTTTCAATATCATGTAACTGAAACCTGAGATAGTTGCATTTGCATATGCATATGCTGTTTTTTGGTCGTTAGCGTTCTTCTCTATCATATTGATCATTTTTGTTTAAACTTTGAATTTTACTCATTATAATTGAGTACACCTACTAGGATGTTTCTGCAGATCATCCACTTGGAGAAGAAGAAAAAAAGAAGCTGACTGTGATCACTCTTTTGTTTTAAAAGATGATCTGGGTTATGTTTGTCGCGTTTGTGGGGTTATAGACAGAGGAATTGAAACCATATTTGAGTTCCAATACAAGGTTAGACAGTTCTCTCCGCATTAATGCGCTAATTGAGTTTTAAAATATGTCTAAAAATTAGAGGCATAGGTTGAATGTCTTAACAAGGCATAATAATATGAAGAGTAAAGCCTCTAGAATTTACAATGTTACAGAATGTCTTATAATTTATGGTTTTTGGTAATAGCAAAAGTGTGCTGAGCTGATTTATTAGTTTGTGCTAGCAAAAGTGGGCAAAGTTGATTTATTAGTTATGTATTATTGTATCAATTTTATTGAAGGTTAAAAGGAGCACAAGAACTTACATGTTTGAATCCTGGAATGGCAAAGCAAAAGATGATTTATTTAAAGCTAAGATTGCTGAAGATGATCTCACGGTAATTGAAATTTCAGCACATCCTAGGCATGCAAATCTAATGAAACTAGTGGGGGACCATCCTGGAGGATGCATTTTGGCTCATGCTCCAGGATCTGGAAAGACTTTCATGGTTATTAGTTTCATACAGAGTTTTCTAGGAAAGTATCCCAATGCAAGGCCTCTAGTGGTGCTTCCTAAGGGAATACTATCGACTTGGAAAAAAGAATTTCAGAGATGGCAAGTGGAAGATGTACCACTCTATGACTTTTACACTGTGATGGCTGAGAGTAGATCACAACAATTGGAAGTCTTAAAACAATGGGTGGATCACAAGAGTATCCTTTTCTTAGGATACAGACAGTTCACTTCCATCGTCTGTGATGACTGCAATAACAATGTTTAAACATCTTGCCAAGAGATATTTCTTAAGGTTCCCTCAATTCTCATTTTAGATGAGGGACACACTCCTAGGAACGAGAATACTGATATGGTACAGTCCCTTGCAAAAGTACAAACACCAAGTAAAGTTGTACTATCTGGAACCCTATATCAAAATCATGTCAAGGAGGTATTCAACGTGTTGAACCTTGTTCGCCCAAAGTTTAAATCGATGGAAACGTCCAAGCCTATTGTCCGACGCATTAAGAGTAGGATCCATATACCTGGTGTGAGTGACTTTTGTGATTTGGTTGAAAACACTTTGCAGAAGGACCCGGATTTTAAAAGGAAAGTGGATGTTATACATGATTTGCGGGAGATGACCAGTAAGGTACTGCACTACTATAAAGGAGATTTTCTTGATGAGCTTCCTGGCCTAGTAGATTTTACTGTGGTGCTCAAACTTACACCTAGACAGATGCATGAACTTGATAAAGTAAAGGGGATATCTGGAAAGTTCAAGATGTCTTCTGTAGGTAGTGCAGTATATCTGCACCAAAAATTGAAACCAATTGCAGAGAAATGGTGTGAAAAATCTATATCTGGTGATATAATTGATGATCTAATACGAACCTAGACGAGAGAGATGAGAGAGATGGAGTTAAATTAAAATTCTTTCACAATATGCTGAACCTATGCGAATCAGCTGGGGAGAAGCTTTTGGTGTTCAGTCAATCTCTCTTGTCTTTAAAATGTTTGGAACGGTTAGCTATGGAATGGAAAGGCTGGAGTGTTGGGAAAGAAATTTTTGTAATTTCAGGAAAATCATCCACTGAAGAAAGGGAGTTTTCCATGGAAAAGTTTAACGGTTCACCTGAGGCCAAAATATTTTTTGGGTCAATTAAAGCATGTGGTGAGGGTATATCGTTGGTTGGGGCATCCCGTGTCATCATCTTGGATGTGCATCTCAACCCGTCTGTTACTCGTCAAGCTATTGGCCGTGCTTTCCGGCCAGGTCAGAAAAGGAAAGTGTTTGTGTATCGATTGGTAGCTGCTGATTCTCCAGAAGAGGAAGATTACAATACTTGTTTCAATAAGGAGTTAATTTCAAATATGTGGTTTGAATGGAATGAATATCATGGTGTGACAAAGCTTTTGAAGTTGAGACACTTGATGTGAAGGAATGTGGTTATCTGTTTCTAGAAAGTCCATCGTTAGGGGAAGATGTAAAAGCTCTGCATAAAAGGTTAGACCACTGTTACTTATCTTTTTGTATATCATAAGAAAATAAGACATTTATTTTGTTTGTCCTAATTCTTGTTTTATTTGTTGACAGGTAATCTGTGGCATTCAGTGAACAGTTTTGGCATTGCGAGGGTCGCCGAATTGAATTGGTTGTCTTTACTATTCATATAGTTTATATATGATCCATCTTCCTCACTCCTGGGGGTGGGACAGAGAGGTGTATAGCCTATTTTAACTTTCTGAACTTGTTTGTATTGCAGAAATCTTCTGCTTTAACATTGCTATTGCATCAACTGATCAGAGAAATGTTTTAAAATCATGCATGTCTATCTGGTTTGTTGAGCTACGAAAAAGAAAGAAGAAAAGCATGAAATCAAATAGAATGAACATGATTTACTAGTTTAAAATGTTGGATGCTGAAATCAAAGTCTCCTACAATATCTAAAATAGAATATTATATCACAATTTAGGTTACTGTTTTGTCTTAATTCTGGTTTATAACGACGAAAACTTAATATAATCAGTTTTCTTGTAAATTTTTTGTTACCCTCTGATTATTCATTCTTTTCCTCTCAAATAGTATTCCTCGGTATAGTCTAACTCCAAATTACTCATAAATATTTTTTGAGAATTTATAAGTGATTATTTTAAATGTCAACACAATAATACTGTTGAGGATTTGAAAATATTGTAGACTGATGCTTCCAAAAGACACTTCAACGTTTTTGTTAGCAATGAAAAACATGTTAGGACTCAACCACTTTTGTTTGGTTAAGTTAGAATACTTCATTTGCAAGTAACATAGGGTTGAGTTTCAAGTGTGAAAGTGTTAACGTTCCACATCTACTAGGATTAGAGAAAATAATGTTGAATTTCAAGTGTAAAGGCATGCTTACACCATTTATGTTTTGGAATTGCATTTAGAGTATAATGGAAAGGCATGTTTACACTATTTATGTTTTGGGATTGCATTTAACCACTCACAAGCATCCAAGCTGGCCTTCTTAATCTCTATCATTTTTGCCTCATGTGCTTCAAAATATGTAGCCTTGACAGCAACTATCATGAGATCTCTGAATAATGTCTCAACTCCAAATTTCTTTAAATGCCTTAAATAGAACATATGTTGATAAGCATGATATTCCTCTTCAAATACTTGAACAAGTCCCTGAAAAATGTTAACAGAAAATTTTCAACTAATTAATAACATACAATAAACAAATTGACAATTGAATAATAGTTAGTATACATATCTTCTGTTGATCAGATATAAAACATCATATAGTCTCACAAATATCCTCAATAAGTAGCTTCATGAACCAACTCCAAATTTCCTTAGACTCGGTCTCTACAACACCAAATGCAAGGGGCAAATACCGATCATTGGGATCCCTCTCAACTGCAATTAGTAAAATTCCATTATATTTATTCTTTAGGTGACAACCATCTAAACCTATGAAGGGTCTACATGACTTAGTCAATGTATTTTTGGTCCCATCAAAGTACATGTAACATTTTTCAAATCCTAGTTGCATCTCAGGTCTAGGCGTGTGAATGTTTAGTTTGAATGTGTTTCATGTAGATGCTCTCCTTAACTCAGCACCATATGACCATAATATACTGTATTGCTTCCTTGCATCTCTTTCAACAACTTTTCTTGCCAATTGTCCTGCTTTAAAAGCTTTGCTACCAGTGATCTCAGTAGAAAGCTTGTTCTAACATCTGCCACAATTTCATTTAACCTCATCTTAGAATTGTTCCTCAGTCTGTCAACTATCACCTTTGGAACCCACTCAGTCTTGGCATTCTTATTAAAGAATTACCTACCACGTGTGTGTTTGGAAAACAAAGTTTTGACCTTGAATGTTGAAGTCCTTAAAACTCTACTGCATAGGATAGTATAGTCACATAGCTTATTCTCTTTACACACAACCATACACCTATTAGAATCATTTTTAGCAAATGTTACCTCCCTACCATTAAAAATATTGTGTTCCATAACAGCTCTCTTGAATTGCTTCAAATTTGAAAATTTCATCCCTAGCTTGAACTTAAAATCTTTTGTAATTGTATCTTCTTCATTGTACTTAATCACCTTTTGTAATTGTATCTTCTTCATTGTACTTAATCACTGGAGGCCTCTCATAACAACTATCTTTAGCCCCACTGTCAAGCTCATCTGTAATGTAATCTTCTTCTATAACATATTTTTTTATCCATATCACTTGTGATAAGGCCACTGTTGTGAGCTTCACTTTGAACACTCTTATTTCTAGACACACCCAATGTTAATTCCTTCATCAAGTTCTCCATCAGAATCTTGCATTCTCTCTTCTTCACTATCCTCAAAGTGAATACCATCAACAAAATCTTCGCTTAATCATACTCATCACCAATATTTCCCTCGTCACTTTCATGCCCCTTTTGTCTCTCTATAAACCTCTCCAAATAGGTACTCACTTGTATTTGTTTTAGCCTCTGTGTAAATTTCCATATCAAAATTATTGTTCACAACATACTAAGCCAAAATAGAAGTATTTTTATCATTGCAAAACAGGTTACGATCTTTTCAAAAGAACCCTCTTCATGCTTCCACCACATTTTACAACATTAGATCAGAATCAGTGACAATTTTACAATATGAGCAAACATCTCCTCCATCCATAAGTATACTAACTTGATTAGCTATTGACATCGAAAAGAAAGAAAATAACAAACGAACAAAAAACTCAGTGTTTCTCTTGAACCTAATAACACTAAAATTGAACCTTTGAAGCTGCAGAGTCTCACTCTTCACCAACCATGGCGTTCATTTCCAACAACTCCAAGCTCCTCCGATGGCGTCCATCTCTCCACCCCATCTTCCCCACCACCTCTCTCTCCTCCCATTTCTCCACCTCCACCTCCATCGATGAACCTCTCTTTGAACTCGACCACCCTATCCCCTTCTGCTCTGAATTTTGATGTCTTGGCAACTATTGACTGGAAGTATGTTGTGATTAATGCAGCACAAAGAATGAAGGATAGAAATTCGGTTCCAGCACGTAACCTTGACATGCATCTTTTAAGTTTACTTCTCTATGAGGTTTTGATAATATAAAAAAATGGAGCCTTTCATGATTGGTTCTCAAAACCATTTCAAAGGAGAAGGTCATACTCAAAATGTAGAGGACGGTTGGCTCGAGACAGACAGAGAAGAAAGTCATCACAATCCATCAACTCCATCATACTCTTGAACCTTTTGTGCACAGACGCCGTGTCGAAGATGTTGAAGGCTCACTACCAACAAAGGACTCCATATTTTTACAATGTAAAATGTCATCTGTCCTGAGTGCTATTTACGACTAGGTCAACTGGTACTCTTCGTCTTGATCCCGAGGATGAGGAACGTAAGCTTCAGAGAAATCCATAACTACCATCATGATCAGAAAAAATATACACAAGTCAGCCTACATATATTTGACCAGAAAAAGCAACATTCAAAATCACAAAACCAAAATTGCATTGCCATAAAAATTCAAGCATCAGACTTGTATCCAGAAGCGATTCAAACAACATACAACTTCTAGTCAAAAGCAATTCACTAACCATTACTTGTTAACTCCTAATTCCTAACTTCACTACTTCTAACAGTTTTTACATCTTTTGCTAACCTAAACTAACTTCATTTTCCAAATTAACTAACAGAGCTTTTAACCTTTCTTAACAGTTTTCTTCACTAACTATTCAACTACAGAAAAACTACACCAACTAATTTCATAACTGATTTTTACACTCTCAAAACAACTTCATAACAGCTCTAATCTCCACCGTCTATTCCTTAACAAACTCTCAAGATTAAGGGCTCATATTGTTTCTCCTCTCTCAATCCCTTTCATCTTCCATCATCTTCATTATAAGCTCATTGAACAAGCACTGTAAGAGCTTCACCGTCGGAAGCACTCGACAGTGGAGCTAGACCTCAATCCCCGCAACCTCACGCATATCTCTACTCACAGTTGAGAAATGGGCTTTGTGATGAATTACTTGGATCGAATCCCTTGCCAGATCTATATCTATTTTTTGGTAGATGGAAGTACAAAAAATGCTATTGGATCTTCTTACAAATGGGCTTAGCGCCTAGCACCTAGCACCATTGCTATACAGTACTTCTGGATTCTGCTCGCACCCATGGCTTCTTTCATTGTATTTTCCTTTTGGTAATTGTTTCTGATTGTTTTTCCTTTCGATTTTATTTTTTCTTCACATGAAAAATGGAAAATAATATAATAGGATTTTAATTCTTTTGATCTTTTATTGTGATTATTTATTTTGTCATAATCCCTTAGGAAATCCATGAAACGTTTAATTCATGATTAATCGTTTTATGTTGAGTAGACCTTAGGATTTAAT